AGAGTAGTCTCTGACAACGATGGCTCCCTAGGCTTAGTAATGGAGATGAGCACCGTCTCCTATAACCATGTCAACAGGGAATACTTTTACCTTTATATCTTTGCATTTTAGACTCTTTAATAGTTCTTTCATAGCCACCCTCCCCATTATTAATCTTCTTCTGATTACCTGGCCGCAGTCCCCATTTCTATCAATGTTTGATCTCAGGTATGGGAATTCTTTTACTATTTCTATTTCTTCATTGTCTACGTTGAACTTGTGAAGGTCCTTGCTGGTCATTATTTTTGTTTTCTTTATGTTCAACATTAAACCTGCCTTTGCATTTTCTTCTCTGATTTTCCTTAGTAGGTGTTCCAGGTCTGTGAGGTTTTCTGCTAATACTATGGTGTCATCTGCATATCTTAAAGGTAAAGGTTGTCATGTGGTGTCCAACCGTAGGGGGTGGTGCTCATCTCTGTTACTAAGCTGAAGAGCCAGTGTTGTCAGAGAGTACTCTGTGATCATGTGGCCAGCATGACTGCACAGAACACTATTTACCTTCCCATCAAAGTGGTACCTGTTTATCTACTTGCATTGGTATGCTTTCGAACAGCTAGGTTGGCAGAAGCTGGTACTAATGACAGGAGCTCACCTCATCATGCAGCACCCGGGCCTTGAAGTGCCAACCTGCCAATCTTGCAATCAACAGAGCCAGCGCCTTAACCACATGAGCCACTGCATGCCTTCTGCAGTTGATATTCCTTCCTCCTGTTTTCACTCCTCCTCCTTCTGTGACCAAGCCTGCTTTTCTTATATATTCTGCAAATAAGTTGAACAGATAGGATGAAAGGATACAACCTTGTCTGTATCCTTTCCTAGAGAAATGTTTTCTCTGGGAACATCTAGGTTCTCCAGCGCAACTCTGTGGTCAACTTCAGGCAGAGGCGTGGTGGAGGATTTAGAGATTTCTAGAGAGAACATCTTCATCAAAGCCGTAAATGTGGAGGGCCAGCTCTACTGATATTTTACAGATTGACATGGCTGCGTCTCTGAATTCTTTTTCAAACTCTTTACTAGCGACACAATGAAACATACTTTGTTGTTGTTAACTCTCATCAGGTCAACTTCAACTTATGGTAACCCCATAAATGAGGGGCCTTCAAGTCACCTGTCCCCAACAGCACTTGCTCCAGGCCTTCCTTGACTGAGTCTATCAATCTGCAATGCAATCTTCCCCTTTCCCTCCAGCCTTCTACATTACCAAGCATTATTCTTTTCTAGGGAGTCATGTCTTCTCATGATGTAGCCAAAATATGACAAGCCTTGGGTTCAGCCATCTTGGCTTCTAGGGAGAGTTCAGGCTTGATTTACTCTGTTGCTTGTTGTTGCTGTATGCCTTCAAGTCATTTCCAACTTATGGCAACTCTAAGGTGATCCTACCATGGACTTTTCTTGGCAAATTTCTTCAGAGAGGGTTTGCCATTGCCTTCCTCTGACACTGAGAGTGTGACTTGCTCAAGATCACTCAGTGGATTTCCATGGCTAAGCCAGGATTAGAACCTTGGTCTCAGTGTTCTAGTCCAATGCTCAAGCCACTACACCACACTGGCTGTCTTTTTGCTCTAGGACACATTTGTTTTTCTAGCAGTCCACTGTATCCATATAACTCTTCACCAGGACCACTAATTCTTTTAGATTGCAGCCGCTCTGAGATTCAGTCTTGTAGAAAAAGTGGGATACAAATAAATAAAATAATTACTAGACTAACATGGCAATGTCTTTGAATATTCTGTACGATATGGCCAGTGTAGCTCAGTTTCCAGGTTTACTAAGCCAACAAATCCCCTCCTCCATAATCACAGGCCATATTGGTTAGGGATTATGGGAACACCATTTAGGGAACCAAGATCAGGAAAATAATCTAACCTGGGGTGGACAACTGTACAGGGGAGAAGAACCAATCTTCAACACTACCACACACCCCACAGGGCACCCACTCTGTTTTCCTCTGCAGTCCCTCTCAAAATGGCCACCAGAAGGCATGCCACATCCTGTCACCATTTTGAGAAGAACTAGAGGAAAATGGAGGTATTTAGGGGGCAGTGGAAGGATTCCGTGCGCAGGATGGGGGTCTATTTGTGTTTTCATGCACTTGACATTTTTGCATGGTGTCCAGGCCATAATCATCTAAAAAGTTTGCGGATTTTTTTTTAAATTAAAATGCTGGAGGGCATCGGTGGACTAGTTTCACATGCCACCAAAATGGGGTCCATGGGGGCCACATATGGCTGCACACTGCTCACCCTGATCCAACCCAACTCCTTCTCCCATAGGATGGGAAAGTTGTTTTTGGAATACAGCATCTTCCAGCTGCCATTGCAATTGTAGTCCTAAGAAGGTAACTTTTGCACACCCTGTTTTCCCTTACACTCGACTGTACCGTTACCAATGCTGCCATCCCAAAGGGCACTTCCTTTCAAAGTCCTTTTATTAAATATTCAAAACCAGGAGGGAGAAAAATAAACCTCCAACCTCCCTCCCAAACACAGAACAAAACCACAAAGGGAAAAAAACCCAAATGAATCTCTTGCTTACTTAAAAAAAAAAGGAGAAAAAAGCCCCCTTTCCTCTACCGATTCCTCAAAAAATCACCATTTTCTGGAGATGATCTCTCCATTTCACTCTAATAGGTTCCCCCTCCCCAGTTTAAAAAGCACACGCATACACACAGAGCTGAGGTGCAAATACTCTCCCCCTACCTTGCCCCAGAGAAATAGCAATGCAACCTCTCCTAATGGGGACAAAAATGTGGAAGGATGGTAACAGAGCAGGTTCCCCCTCCCCCAGTGACTACGAGGGGAATTTGAACTCTGGACCAAGGAAGGACAACCCCCTTTACCACCATCACAATTCCCAGATTCACAGGAGTGGTTTTGTAAAGAGAAGAGTCTAGTGAATGGTACGGTGAACATGCTTACGAATCTCTTATCTTCTTCCCTCTGCACTTAGGTGACTCTCATTAAAAATTCTCCCAGAGTATTGTGGTCTAATGAATATTTTTTAAAAAAAGAAGAAAGCGAAAACACTCAAAAACCTCACAGCTGACGCTGCATGTGGTTCCTCGAGGGACCGGCAGTCTCCTGTTGCCATCATCTTAATGCTATCGAGAATCGAAGTGCTGGGAAATAACGGTGCAGCAGATGCATCTGAGCTGCTCCCCTTGCCCTCCGGAGACTCCGTTATTTCCCTCCCAAACAAAAGCCAAACTACATAGCACGTGAAGCCAAACTGTCAATCTATTATCCCCCCCTTTTAAAAAAAACTTACCCCCACCCCCTTCCCAGCCACTCCAAGCAGAAACCAAGTCCCCCTTTTGAGGTAGAGTTCTCTCTTTTTTTTTTTTGTTTTTGTTTGTCTCAGGGCCAAACAGGGGTTCCAAAGTCTCAGCCGGATCCATC